CGTCGTCTCTCTCTCTCTCTCTCTCTCTCTCTCTCTCTCTCTCTCTCTCTCTCTCTCTCTCTCTCTTCTGTACTTGGGGTACTACTAATAAATTGGATCAGACCGACTCCCGATGAGTTGTACGAGTTGTCTGGATCCGGGCTTTACTTCGGTCCGACTTTAATCTAAGATCTTGAGTGGATTTCAGTTTGGGGCACCGGCAAATTTATTTAGCCGCCGCGGTCGTCGCCCGATTCGCTTCTCGATCTTCATTTTCTCCATGGCTGTAACAGCCACGACAGTCGTTGCTTATTGATACATCGAGAATGGGAGAGGGAACGGATGGAAGTCCGCATTATAGTGTAGTATATATTATATTTTGCAGAATGATCGTATCGCTATTATCGAGTTGACGTTTCATCAATTTGATATCACACATGAAAGAATTTCTCTTCTAGCTTTTAAAATCAAGGAAAGAACAATGCTTTTACTGTAAAATCTAAAAATTTAGATCAGAGATCTGTAAAATAATCTTGTTAGACCATTAAAATTTTGATGCAGGATTTTTAAGTATAACGATGATACTGAAAAACTTTTTTATATTCTAACAATCAATTCAAATGTTTCTATCCTACGTAATTACTCTGATAGGCCAACAAAATTATTTTTCAGATTTATATATCCAGCAAAACTATCCTTTCCTGTCGTTAAGATCGATATCCATGAAAATTCTGCCAATAAAATTATCGGATCACGAGCAGAGAGAAAGATATATATATATATATATGTAATTTTTGCTTGTTGGTTGAACGTATAGCAATTTTTTTTTCTGGGCTAAACGATAAACAAGTGCAGTGCCGTTCGCATGTTGAAATAAATCCATATCGGCACGATAATCGCGCAGACAGGAGCACGAGCGGAAACGAAGTTTTAAGTGCATCCGCGAGTCCGCAACGTCGTTAAACGCCCTGATAAAATATCCGGCGCGGCGGCAACGAAACGCCCCGCGAATCGTTTATTTTCGCGTGCGTGGCTTAAAGCGAAAATCCTCGCGGATCCTCATTGATATTAATTTTGCATACGATACGGGAGATATCGCGGAGCGACCGCGTACCGGTGTAACCGCGCGTCCGCGACAGTTATGAAAGTTCAGCGGCATCGGGGCGAAGTATCTCGATGCGCCCCTGTGTGGATGCAACTATGTGAGTGAACCCCTATGTGAATGTGATAGCGCAACACCATCATGCGTTCATCGTTATCCCTCTCTCTCTCCCCCTCCCTCCCTCTCTCTCTTCTCTCCTTCCCCCCTCTCGTCTCTCTC